ACAGAGAAAACATTTAACTAAACATATTTTTAATTTCTAACATGCAGACATTAAACAGAGGCCTGATTTTTACTAATATATGAAATTACATAAGGAATATTAAAAGATTAAAACAGCTTACATATCTTATTTGAGAACTACCAAGTTCTCAAATTTAAGTATTAAATGCTCCATTAGATGCTCACATAATTATACAAATAAATGTACACTCTTCTTTGACAATGTCACAATTAACACATCATACATTTGATGGCACTGGAATCTAAAACTAAGACACTGTACTTCTTCCTATAGCTTCTGGCTTTTAGCACTCTGTTCTTATCACTTTGAAAGGAGAGAAAGTCAACATAGGTAGAAAAAAGTTACATGAAAACATCATATTCACTCAGTCTCATACACTGTGGTAAAATCAGAAACTAAGACTCCTGTTGAAAGAGTGAAACAAGTGCGAAAAATGCACACAATGTAGAAATGACACTAGAAAATTTAAGAGTATATATAACAGGAGAGGCAAACAAAACTACAGATTACACATGAATGATAAATGTCTTTTACCTGGATCAGGAGGGGCCTGCTGCTGCCAGTGTGGATATGCATTTCCCCACCCCTGGGGGGCATAAGGAGCTGGAGGTCCACTGAAAAGATAGAAATCAATATAAAAACACAATTTACCAAAAGCTAGAATATTTGGGGAAAACTCCAGAATCAAACTCAGTACTTACTGAGGAGCAGGGCCAGGTGGTCCTGGATTGTAAGGTGCAGGGTTGTATGGTCCCATTGGAGTTCCAGGCCCTGGAGGCCCAGGAGGCCCATGGGGGCCTGGGACACCATGGGGCCCATGGGGTACAGGTGGCCCTAAAGGATTTACTGGGCCCTGTAAAAAAGCAAAGAGATGTACAAAAAAATCAGAAAAACAGCAATGGCTTAACAATTCAAAGGCCAAATAACACCAACAACATATTTTAGATTTTCCTTCATTTCCTCATTCATGTTGCAAAAAATTTTTTAATTTTTTTAATGTTTACTTATTTTAAGAGAGAGAGTGGGTGAGCAAGCAGGGGAGGGGCAGAGAGAGAGACACACACACACACACACACACAGAATCTGAAATAGGCTCCAAGTTCTGAGCTATCAGCACAGAGCCCAAATCGGAACTCAAACTCAGGGAACTGCAAGATCATGACCTGAGCCAAATTCAGACGCTTAACTGATTGAGCCACCCAGGTGCCCATGCTGAAAAAACTCAACTCTACCATATTAAATATTAAGACCTGAAAATTCATTAAAATCAACAGCATCAGCAAAGAACTGAAACATCTCCTTTATCTTCCATTCTCTTCCTTTCAGACGAATTCCCTTTTCCATTATTTCCCTTTCTTTTTTATAATTCTTACTTTTACTACACTTCTTTATTATCTTATCATGGAAGTGTATCAAATACCATGTTTTCCCTAACTTTTCTTTCTCTACATCTATTCAGCATCTACTTTCCTAACAATCAGACAACCACCTTGACAATATATTCCCCAAATTGCTATTATACTATGAACTACTGGGTACTTTATCATGTAAAGTAACAACTAGTAACTTTAGTAACTCAAAAAACTAAACTCCTCTTCATAACCTTTGTGCCCCAGAACCCCATTTAAAATCAGTAATTCAAATTCATTTCCTCTCTTCCCCTTTATCATTAGTTTCTAAATACCCTATCTTCATATTCAAATTTTTTTTTTTCAACGTTTATTTATTTTTGGGACAGAGAGAGACAGAGCATGAACGGGGGAGGGGCAGAGAGAGAGGGAGACACAGAATCAGAAACAGGCTCCAGGCTCTGAGCCATCAGCCCAGAGCCTGACGCGGGGCTCGAACTCCCAGACCGCGAGATCGTGACCTGGCTGAAGTCGGACGCTTAACCGACTGCACCACCCAGGCGCCCCTCATATCATACCACTTAATAATGCTTAGTTGATTTTCCTTTTGATAATCCAAATTAGCTTTCATGAAGTTAATACTGATCATGTGACATTTTGAAGAAAAATGCTTAAATCACATTTAGTTGTCTATTCCCTCACTACAAAATAATGAAGCTAAACTTTGTAATTTTAAAAATTTTAACGTTTATTTTTGAGAGAGATAGAGCGTGAGCAGGGGAGGGGCAGAGAGAGAGGGAGACACAGAATCTGAAGCAAGCTTCAGAATCTGAGCTGTCAGCACAGAGCCTGACACAGGGCTCGAACCCACGAACTGTGAGATTATGATGTGAGTTGAAATCAGACGCTTAACTGACTGAGCCAGCCAGGCACCCTAAACTCTGTGACTTTTCAAGTTCCTTCTATTACTTTACCTCTTTAAATCTGTTTTCATTATCCTTCACTTCTATTATCCATAACCAATCCCTTACAAAAAGTAAAAAAGGACTACTGAAAAAGTAGCAACGTTTTCATAGGGTTATGTACGAGGCACTCTTTTAAGTGACACAAACCTCATATCATTTGTACAACCTGTAAAATAGCTATTATTATCCTTATTTTCAGAGAAAGAAACAAGAGGCAAACAAGTATAAACAACTTTCTCCAAGGTCACACAGTAAATGATTCAGAGTATTTTGAACCTAACAGCCTGATTCCAGAGTCCATGCTCTTAACTATCAAACTAAACTGCTTCTCTAGAACCTATCTTGTTTGCCCATCAATCCAGAAGAAACCTTGATCCATGCATGCCAAGGATAGTAAAATCCAAAACGTTAATTCATTTTTCTAGCATCGACCTCTGCCAATACTGGGTACATAATTATTTTCTTCATATTTTCAATTACACTTATATTTAAAAATTTTTTCAATGTTTATTTTTGAGAGAGACAGATCGTGAGTGGGGGAGGGGCAGAGAGAGAGGAAGACACAGGATCCGAAGCAGGCTCCAGGCTCTGAGCTTTCAGCACAGAGCCCAACGTGGGGCTCAAATTCGTGAACCATGAAATTGTGACCTGTGAATTGTGATGTAGGACACCTAACTGAGCCACTCAGGTGCTCCTATACTTATTAATTTTTTAAATGTATATTTGAGAGAATGAGAGAAAATAAAAGCCCATGTGAGCATGCGGCGGGGCGGGGCAGAGAGAGAATGAGAATCCCAAGTAGGCTCTGTGCTAACAGTGCGAGTTCAATCTCATGAACCTGGAGATCATGACCTGTGCTGAAATCAGAAGTCAGCCACTTAAGTGACTCAGCCACCCAGACACCTGTATTTTTAAGTAGGCCTCATGCCCAGCACTGAGCCAAATGCAGGGCTCAAACCCAGAACCCTCAGATCAAGACCCAAGTGGAGATTTAAGTAGGATGCCCAACTGACTGAGCCACCCAGGTGCCCCAACAATTACACTTATTAATACCACAAAACTTACAATATTTGTATATGTTTTTATAAGATTTTCTTTTAATTTCTTAGTCATCTCTATATCCAACATGGGGCTCACAACTCACAACCCTAAGATCAAGAGTAACATGTTCTACTGACTGAACCAGCCAGGTACCCCTGGTAAGATATTCTGTAAGTGTCTTTTATACATTTATTTTTGTCTTTCCCAGAAGACAGAAACAGTATCTAACTTCTTTTGTATCCCTTCCACAATATGGCAATCATCAGGGAGAACTTTCCTAAGAAATTCTAATTATTATTATTCAAAATGCTCCCTTACATCCTATAGTAAAAGAACACAGTTAAGACACTACATCCTCCTCTTATAAGAAAGCACAATCAAGACTCTTTATACTTTTTTTGTACTACCACCAGGAAACTTATCTAAAGGAAGTTTCCAAATTTGTGTATCAGGTCTGTCTGTCATGTGTAAAGGTGGAAAGCATTCAAATAGTATACACTTTAAAACTCCCCAAATGACTGTCAATCTAAGATGGATTTGTAAATTTCTACTCTAAACTGGGGGATTCATCTAATACATATTTACCTGAGCAGGGTGGAGTACATTAAGCCCTTAATAAATACTGAATTCCCATTAACTATGTCCTACAAGTACATTCTACAACCCACCCACCAACTCTTACATTGTATCTGCAAGTAATGCAGTCTATTATTTACTCACACAAAGTTCTACATACTTACAAATGTGTATTTAACTGAATTATTTGTCACTGCTGGACAATCTTTCCTGTTGTATGTGTTCATTTTGTGGTGAAACCTACAATCTTAGACTAGAAATTGGCATTTCTTTATATAGCAATTATAGAAACATCTGAATTAATACCTTCTATTTAATAGGGTCTATGTAAATATCGTATCTATTTACTTTTTAAGTAAGCTCTATACCCAACATGAGGCCTGAACTCACAACCTGGGGATAAAGAGTTGCATGCTTTACTGACTAAGCCAACCAGGTGTCCCTATAAATTGAAATTTAAAGCATACTCACACCAATCTTTTCTTCTATAAGTTGCCGTGCATAGTCTATTTGCTGTGGAGTGCCACGGATTGTAAATAATTTCATATTAGGATCTGCATTAGGTGGAGGATTTCTCTGAAGTTCTATTCTTGCACCAGACTGTTGGCTTATGCTTTTTATGGTTTCACCTCCTAAAATCAAAACACAGTAATTTTTCTAAAGAGTCAAAGGATACAAAAAGAACTTCTTAAAAGAAAATGACCACAACTAAAACAGCCATTAAGAAAAAAGTTTAGAGCAGTATCCCATCTGCCAATATTCTATTAGAATTTTCCATTTATTCTACACTTAAAATCAAATTGTATAAAGCATCTCATGCTTCTAAAATACATTCAAGTTTCAAGACAACTTAGCATGTCTGTACCTAACCTTAATATCAACTGTAACAACAACAAAAAGTAACTCATCAAAATATTTGGTTCAAATAAATTGCTTTTACAAGTAACATAACACTTATTAAAAGTCCTAAACTTTAAAAAGATGTAAGGAAAAAGCAAATGGCACAAAAACATCAAACCACTTTTTGGGTCAAAACAAGTTTCTTACACTAATACACTATTGGTCCACCCTCTAGAAGCCAATGTTTTTCAAATCCCATTCTTTTTATGTGCATATAAGGCCCTCATTTATGTTTTTGTTACAAACCAACATAAAATAGAGCCAAAGAAAAATCCTTGCTACTGATTTACAAGAGAAATAGCATCCAGAAAAATCAGGTCATGTGTTAACATTTTTACCCACACATTAAGACATTATTTAAAATACATTGCCTTTTCCTATTATTAATCCAGTTTTCCCTGTTGGTACAATGAAATTAAATTCCTGTAGTCCACCAGGTGGTCCCATGTTCCAGTTGCCTTGACCTCTACCTCTTCCTCGGCCACCAGGTCCAGGTCCACCAGGATTACCAGCCTAAGGGAAACACAAAGAAAAAAATAAAAGTCAGCACAGAAGAATATTCTTCTTTCCATGGTGAAGTCACTACATGTCTATTTTCCTAAACCAGAAATTTAAAGAAGCTGAGAGATGACTTGGCCCAAATAATCAAATACTACCCACCGCTTGTTCTTTTTACACTAGGATGAATAAGACTGTACTTATGTAGCTGCCTTTCTGTTCCAAGATGTCTACCTCAAAGTTACCTTTCTAGCTATTAACAAAGCATTATCAGACAGATTCTGACATAAAACTAAAGGGGGAGGGGGGACACTTTCAGGCTTTCAAGAAAATAGATACTTTTGTGCAGCCTGATGCAGGGTTTTATCTTACGAACCATGAGATCATGACCTGAGCTGAAATCAAGAGTCAGATGCTTGACTGACTGACCCACTCATGCATCCTGGAAAGTATTTTTTAAATGAAAACAAAATAATGAAAATAGTAACATCTGTCAAACCTGAACACTTCGAAGGAGGTCTGTAATAATTTCTGCAGCGTGTTGACATCGGTCTGGAGGTCCTGTTATTTGTGCTATTCTATCAGGTGTTGTTCCATCATCTTCAAAATAAAAAACCAAAATGGATCTATTTAGCAACAAATGGACGTCAAAACAAATTGCTACCAACACCTAGAAAATTAAATATGTATACTCACCTGGCTTAAACTGAATTCGAACACCAGCATCATTTTGTATTTTTTTAATCATCTCTCCATTTCTTCCTATTACAATGCCAACAGCAAATCTTGGAATGGGGACCTTATACAAAGAAGACTACATATTAAGAAAGCCATTTCCTGAAAATTAATCTACCTCAAATCATTAAAGTAAAAACAGCACTATGCTCTGATATGCCATCAAATAGGGTAATGAGATACAAGTTATACATTCTACACTCTAAGGCAGAAACAGGGTGAGGGGATACAATGTTAGAGATGGCTTTGTAACACACAACAGAAAAAACACATATTTATCAACCAGTATACAACCATTTGTGAATGGGTATTTTTACTTACATCTATCCCTTCATTTCCACCTATTCTTGACCCATACTCATTTCGAACTTCTCTGAAACCACCTTGATCACGAATTAACTCTAACACCATTTCCTTGGCTTGCTGAAGTAGGGGGGGGAAAAAATCACCCAATTTAGAAAGTATGTCTCAAAACACTGTAATTATTCATACATGTTTTGCCCATTCCGCCCCCAAATCCTTCTTTGTAAAATATAAACTTAAGTTTACTTGAACTTTGTATGGGTCTCCTGTAATCCTAAGAGGTTTGTCAGCACCAGTGTTCTGAGGTCCATCTTGAATCATAACCATTTTAACTCCAGCCCGCTCCTGTTACAGAAATCACAAGTATTAACAAAAGGGGAGTGGAAGGAAACAGGCTTCAAAATAGATGAAAAGTAGTCATTTTACAAACATAATAATACCTGAAGTTGTTTAATAGTTTCTCCCCCCTTTCCAATAACTAATCCTGCTTTGCTAGCTGGAATCATTATTTCTTGAACTGCATTTCCTGGTCCATCACCATGGTGGAAGCCAGGGGCTGGTCTTCCCTTTTCTACAATCTGGTCCAGTAACCGTTTTGCCGATCTGTTAACAAATAAAGAGTCAAAGAGTAAGTTACAGCATAATCAAAACCTTAATGCAAACAGAGAAATACAAAATAGTATGATCAGGTACTTCCATTCTAATTCAGGTTTAGGGGGCTTAACACTAATTTAACAAAATTTTTTTATTAAAAAATTTTTTTTCAACATTTATTCATTTTTGAGAGATAGACACAGCGTGAGCAGGGGAGGGACACAGAGGGAGACAGACACAGGATCTGGGCTGTCAGCACAGAGCCCAACGCGGGGCTCAAACCCTGCTTCGGATTCTGTGTCTCCCTCTCACTGCCCCTCCCCCCCCTCACACCTCTGTCTTTTTCTCTCAAAAGTAAATAAACATTAAAAAAATATGAAATGAGAAAGGTGGCAAGTGAGTCAGGCCTTGATAAAAACACTTTTACTCTAAGTGGTGAAGCATTAGAGGATCTGAGCAAAGTAGGGATATGAACTGATTCACATTTTAAAAAGATCACTATGGCTATACTAGCATAAGGATATACTACTGCTGAACAAGGCTAAAAAGAATGGAAACATATTGAAATATAGGCAAATGATGTCACAGACAAGGTGACAGTACAGAAATGGCAAGAAGAGGCTAGATTCCAAATCAATTATGAAGAAAAATGACCCAAGAGTTCCTTATGGATAAATTGAGGCATGAGAAAAAATTAAAACAGAGTTGCCATTCACTGAGATGAGTAAGAGGAGTAAAAGACAAAGCAGGCTGGGAATGGGATGGAAAACAATTTCCCCTTTATAACAATCTGATGTTTGAGATGTCTAGTAGACATTCAAGCAGAGATACTAAGTAAGCAGCTCGACAGGAATCTAGAATTTAGAAAAAGAGAGCAACACTGAAGTTAAAAATTTAAGAGTACATAAAATTTATGATATCTAAAATTATATATTAAATGAAATTTAATAGAGTAAATGAAGTACTCTAAGGAGCACATACAGATCTATTTTAGGAGGACTGAATTTGGGGGCACTTTCACAACAAAAGGTCAGAAATATAAAGCAGGACAACCAAGAATGACTGAGAAAGGGCAGCCAGGGAGCTGGCGATTTCTAGGAAGATTGTTCACTGTGTCAAACAATGTTGATAGGTGGAATGATGAAGAATCCATTTGTGATCTCAGAAAGAACAATTTCAATAGAACCACGGGAATAAAACTGATTCATACATGTTCAAGAAAAAATGAAAACAGAGGCAGATGATACCGCAAATAGAGCTACTGCTTTTTAGTTTTGTTGTATAAGGAGGCAGAGAAATATAAATGTGGGGTTCAAGGACGGTTTTTGTCAAGATGAAGGAATTTTCAAGCATGTTTATATGTTGTTAGAAATTATCTAGAAAATGGGAAAATTAATAGCGCAGAACAAAGTTGGCTCAAATGTACGGGCAATATCCTCTGGTAGGAAGGATACACTGGCCTCAGGCATAGGATTTCATACTTACTGGACAGATTCAGGTGTTCCAGTTAACATACAAGACCTTTCTGGAAGGCCACCACTGTCTACAATTAAAAACAACACCAAACAAATTTTAGGCCAAGAGAAGATTAACAGCATCATTCACTACCTACTGACAAAAACATGCTAGTTTTCTAGTCATTTTGAAAACAGCAAGAGAGTAACATTACCAGGAGCTATCTGTATTTTGCATCCAGATTCTTGTTGTATGCGTGAGATCTGTTCACCTCCTCTGCCAATTACTAGTAAGAAAAAAGAACATTAGTTGCTAAAAGACTATAGAGTATGTTTTGATTGTTGTCAAAGCTTTAAAAATTAGGTTACTTACTAAATCCAACCATTCCATCTGGAACTTTGTATTCTTCTGTCATTACAGACCTGCTAAAAAATAACAAAAACTAACATTTTCCTTCAAAGAAAGAAGCTCTGTTTACACATAAAAGGTAACCCACGAACAAAAAATCGAAGTCTAAAGGCTTAAACTAGGTTTTCAGGCACATATTCATAGTCAAAATACAGCTTGAGTAGTTCAAGTCAGAATCAACACATCAAGTCAGAAGGTATGGTAGATGAACAGTCTAAAGGCATGAACTACAAAGGAGTTAGGGTGGAGTTCAGGTAATGTTATCTTAGTGATTATTCACTTTAGTTCTTCTAAAATATGGCTAACTCCACCCATCCTTCCAAATTATAAATGTATCTCACTCAAAAGGTAAAATTATCCTTCTGTATCACCTTCTTAAATGGAGGGAAATTCATTCTTATATGCAAAATAAAATGCAGACACATACTCATTATACACTAACTTGGTTGTGTTTTCACCAACAGTTAAACTAAAATTTGCAAAGAACTCTTGAAAAAGCATTTCACTATACCTTTGCTGCTGATGCATCGGTGGTAACTGTGTTCCAAAAGCTACCAAAAAATCAAATAAAAATAAAATGAAAACTAAGTTTCCCACATAATTAATACAATTATATCCAACAATTCTAAAATCTTTCCTCAATACACACAGTATCTTTAAGAGAGTAAAATTTTATGCAGAATACTTAAATCAACATTGACAGTGGTCAAGAAAGTCACTGTAATGGCAGAGATCATCAGCAATGACATAGGAAAAAAACCGTCCTTTCTCAAGGGGTGCAAGCTTAAGTTAAAAATGGAATTATAAAATAAATTGAATACAAAAACAATTTAGCAACCAAATCTTATTAATATATACCCGGCCATAATTGAAGTGGGAGATTATAAAGACATGAAATACATATTTACAAAGCTATTCACAGCCTTACACTAACTCCAAAGATACGCAACAAAAAACAGGAACAAAACCCTCGTATTAAATTCCAGTTACTTTAGCTTTTGACCCAATTTAAAATACTTACAGTCATTTTGAGGAGCAACTTTCTTAGCATCTGGTTGATCTGCAAAATTAAGAGCTTTTTAACTTTTTGCCAATAAGTACAAATACAAGACTTAGCTAACCCGTGCCCAAGTAAGAATAAATATCAATGTAAACACTTATTGAAATAGCTGAGGGTAATTATCATTTGAACCAAAAAGTGCCAATACTTATCCCAGACTCTTAATAATCAAAAGAAACATTACATTTCTTTAATTCTTTTCATGTTTAAAAGATGCACAGACATTAAAAAAAAATTCTTTTTGATTGTATCAAATCACTGACCTTAATGTATGTTAAGCACTTTAGAATGATACAAGACAAAGTACTTAGGTCCATTACTAGCAAAATATCACATGCTAAAGGCTAATGATGCTTCCCACTGTAGGAACTGAAGACTGGAAGAAAAACAGAACCTATCAGAACGTGAAAATTTGACATATCAAAAGTTGAGTGTATCTGACAGTGACCACAAGGCTATGCAAAATAAATAAAAAAAAAAATCACATTACAAGGCAATCTCAATCTAAACTATTCTATTGCTCCTAACCAAACATTTCACGGCATAAACTTCAGCAGAAAAACTCAAAGCAACTACATGACTACCTTCATCTACATCCTTTACACAGATGAATACAATGCATACCTTAGAATAGACAACCTACGTCTGAAAGTACTACATTTTCCTCCCCCCTTCAAACTTAAATGTTTAAACATCAGAATGTTGTGCAGCAAAAATTCAGACACATAATCCAAGAAATATTTGTGTCCATTTAAGAATCCACTGGTTTATTTCACGTTTACATACTAAACACAGGTAATAAATAAAAATTCCTGCCTTTAAAAGGAGAGGGCATTCCCTCCCAGTGTGTTGTACTGCTCGGACTTGTCCAAGAGCCATCTACACATAAAATAAAAAGAATACATTACATACAACATCTGAAGCATCATTAGCTCATTTTTTTGTATATCAAAACCTCACTATAAATGTGAAAGACACTTAAATAAAAGAAAACCAAGTACACCTGGTCAAAAGCTACAAATACATTCTATAGGCTCATTCAGAATCCTCCTTAAAAAAAAAAAAGTTAAATAAATAAAATGGCAAAAAGAAAATGTATCAAAATTCATATATCAAATCTAAAACAAAAAAATACTTGCAGACTTCTAAGTTCAGAAGCTTCAACAATTATGTTTAAAAAAAAAAAAAAAACAAAGCACTGTAAATCTACTGTTTTAAGCCACATTTTGAGTTAAACCTGAAACACAAAACAAGGTACTGAAACAAAAAAAGTAACATAAAAAAAAAAGGTATAACCTGCAACACACTAGAGTAGCAAGCTATAGCAACATCAACCTTTAAAGTGAAATCTGAAATAGTAAAATAATGAAAACATAGCATATAAAGATTAATTCACGTATGAAGAAAAAAACCCAGTGAAACATCTTCTAAACATTTTATATTTTTGTTCTTTTCAGTATGTTAACAAGTTGTCTGTGCAAACTGTCAATCTGGCACAATCCTAAAAAAAAAGAAAATGTTTTCTACTAAGACAAAACTTGCTGATTAGCTCAAAATTTTACCTACCTTGTCTAAGGTCTTTTCCCCCCTTTCCTTCTGAGGCCAATATAAACCTTACAATTTTAGGAACCTTATTATAAAAGTAATGTTTCAATAAAGAACATGCAAAAAATATTAAAAACCGCCTTCAACTAAACTGTGTGTAAAACAATTAAAATACTTATGACTACAACTTACCTCCGTCTTCCAAAGGTCTTTTTTGTCCCCCATAACCATAGTCATTTGAATTCAGTGATGTACCAGCATCACCTCCAATTTTTGCTGCAATCTTAAAAAAAAGCACACAATCATTAAGAATAACATTGTAACTACTATACACTACTCAGTGCCAAATTTCTTCATAAATTTCCTACTACACATATATGCTAAATATCTAACACATAAGTAAATTAATTTGGAAAAGAAATTAAAATTACAGATCAATGTATTAATACACTTAATAACCTCAATGAGTTAACAAATAATCATCATCTGGAATTAAGCTTCAGATAAATCTCTGTAAGAACAAGTAATCAATCAGCAATCTCCAGAATCCAATGACCAAATAAATAGCTTTGAGGAAAATCTAGGTCTTAATTCTTCTCCATGGCTCTCTCCCATGACTCTTCAAAAAGTGTGCTGTGGGCACGGAGAATGTGAACACCTTATGGGACTTCAAAGCTGTGTTGCCCAATAAGGTAAATGCTAGTAGCTACATATGGTTATTGAGTACTTAAAAAGTGGCTAGTCCAAATTGAAATGTATTTAAATGTTAAATACATAATGGATACTGAAAACTTGAAACAAACATAAAGAACCGAAAGCATCTTAATTTTTTAAAAAATTATGGGTCGCCTGGGTGGCTCAGTTGGTTAAGCGGCCGGCTTTGGCTCAGGTCATGATCTCACGGTCCGTGAGTTCGAGCCCTGCGTCGGGCTCTGTGCTGACAGCTCAGAGCCTGGAGCCTGTTTCAGATTCTGTGTCTCCCTCTTTCTGACCCTCCCCCGTTCATGCTCTGTCTCTCTCTGTCTCAAAAATAAATAAACGTTAAAAAAAAATTTTTTTTTTAAAATAAAAAATTAGACACATGCTAAAATGGTAATATTTTGGGTACGTTGCATTAAATAAAGTATGTGACTTGCATTGTATTTCTATCAAACAATCTTGTTCTGTAGAAACAGGGCGTGGGGAAAAGCCTGGAAAGCTGTACCTGTAAGAAAAGTCTCAGCTACAGAACCATAAATCATTTCAATCTTGAAGAATGGGGCAAATAATTGCTTGCACTTAAGTAAACAAACATCACATGAGACACACTAGCTTCAAGTCACAAGTAGGACACAACCAGTGGATATCGACTCCATTTTTCTATGAAAGGGGAAATGAAACTAGTATTAGTTTCTGAGTGTCAGCAGTAAGTCAAATTCCACACTATGTTTTATATTCATTTTGTCACTGAATCATCACAACACTATGAGGTAAGGATACTTAGGTAGAGATCCATTTTACAGTTGAAAAAAATCTCGGGAACTTAACTCAGATTACATAGTCAATGGTGGAGATTCCCGATGATTTCTATACAGCTCCATGCTAATTAATTAATTACGATAAGGGGTGCCACTGAAAATGAGTGACAGGCTCATTGGAGTTCATTATATTAATCTGTTAATTTCAAGTATGTTTGAAATTTTCCATGATAAAAAAAAATTACACAGAAAAACCAAACTTCTGGTGTCTAGAATTCCCCCAAAGAGACTGGTAAGAAATGAAAAACCCAACTGCTTCATTACAGTTAGGAAACTATATTCAACGACTTGAGTCTTAAAATCCACTTACTTATCACTTGAGTCTAATATATGTTGTCAGTTACCATATGCCAACTGTACTTCCTAGGGTTTCTAGATTTCCCTTTTCCTCAGCTGTAAATGCAAACACTAACTCAAAGCATATCAGGACTAAATATTAAAATTCTTAATTTAAGAAAGGCTTTGTGGTTTGCCTGGCTGGCTCAGTCAGAGAAGCAATGGGGCTCTTGACCTCAGGGTCATGAGTTCGAGCCCCACATTGGGTAGAGATTACTCAAAATAAATAAATAAATAAATAAATAAATAAATAAATAAAACTTTGAAATAAAATAAAAAAGGCTTTGGTCAATCTAACCTTCCTTAATCATCCTTTCACTTTCTCAAAAGCCTGTTCCTTGTCTTTGAGTATCTAATTAAAATCTTATTTCTTTTTCTGAAAAGCTTCTTCACCACATTTAAAAACAACTGCTTTTCTACCCTTAAGTTTTAAAAGCTTAACATCTGAATTGTTCTTTAGGAACTTAAAATACACTTCTGTGGCACTGATGAGCACTACAGTATTTCAGGCCGAGAGAAGACTGTAACTCCTGTTAAGTACTACTGATGATAGGAAAATGGTTTAAGCTGTGATACCTTCTGATAAATCTCTGTAAGAACAGAGAAGTAATCAATCAGCAATCTTCTGCAGTTAGCTTTTGTAAATGCTGCAGAAGTTTGCAGAGTAGTACTTCTTAAACTCCCTAAGAACTTCTACCTCCCTATTATTCACTGAATAGTTCTAAAACTATCCAAATGAAAATGGAAAAATGATACCTTGTTCACTCAAAATGTTACACCATCTCAAAAATTCAGAAACAATACAAAGACATTACAGAAAAGCTCTCAGTAAAAATACTACCATTTTTAATGACACAACATGGTCCTCTCCCACAACACAAGAATATTTTTAATCAAGTTTTGCTATCCTGTCACAAAATATAAAAAACAAAACACCCAATATGCAAGTACTGGTTTCCTTCCTTCCCTCCTTCTTAATGTTTATTTTTGAGACAGAGTGAGCAGGGGAGGTGCAGAGAGAGAGAGAGAGGGAGACAAAACCAAGCAGGCTCCATGCTGTCAGTGCAGAGCCCGATGCGGGGCTCGAACTCACCAGTCAAAACCAAGAGTTCAACGTTTAACCGACTGAGCCACCCAAATGCCCCTAAAGTGCTAGTTTTCAGTTGAGATTAATGGTAACTGAAAAGTCAACAATTCTGTTTTGTAGAATTTTCATTGTATTCAAACAACATAATGCAATCTGAATCACTTTTACAATCATCAAGAAAGAGATTTCAAGAATAACTGAGTACTTAAAGACTAACAGCTGTTTAGAAGTGAAGGCATCAGAGCTGATAACCTTAACTTGAGATCTATCACTCATTTAGTGCCAGTCTGATTCACTTCTATCTTCACATAACCTCAAAGGGGGGAAAAAAAAGGTAGAGAGATACATTTTGATTTCCCAGTGTTTCAGAGACAGAACTGATTATTTAATGTGGTCACCAAAATCCTAACCAAAGAATCCCAACCTCACCCTCTGGAGTTATAGCTTAAAATACACAAATATAAATCTCTCAAGTATACAGGTTAGAAACCCTAAACTAGAAAAGCAATCTGGTGCTCCTCTGCTGACGTTAGCTAAGAGAGTATCTTAAAAATCTGCAAATTTCACATTAAAAAATAAGCCATCAGGATTCTCTGGAAAAACGATTGGGCAGCTTGGTCTAAACTACCAGATGGCAAAACGAGCTAGGTAGGGACCAGGGATCCTCTTCACTTGTCCTGCATTAACAAAGACCTGTCCGATTAAAAATGTCAACAACATCCCCGCTAGTACACAGCTCTCTGAGGGCAAGAAGCTATCCTTGTATCTCCTGGTCCTTCCAAGAACATGGCACACTATGCCAGACAAAGAAATCTAAGGTTAGATGGGGATTTTGGGAATATAATCCAGGATGCTTTTCATATAAATAAAAAAGTAGTTCGGATGTTAACCTAAACTTGTTCCTTCAGTCCAAGTACTCCTCCCTGTATTCCATTTATATAATCAGACAAACAGCTACAATGGACATACAAAGGCATCTTCAAATGTAATCGGAAGGGGAAATTCAACTCAAAAGCTAAATTTGGGAATCTCAGGTTTAAGGTCAGTTCTGTAAAGAAAAAAATCAAATTATTACAAGAAGACATGTGTAAAGAATCATATTACAGCAAGGACATTGAGGCAGCTGACCTACTGGCATAAAAAGAGAGTATAAGAAATCCATAGTTTGAGGACAATTTCTGTATTTAAAAAAGCAGTCTAACTTAATCACGAAATTACAGATTAGCCAATTTTTAATTAAAGCATGGCAACCCAAAGTCTTTCAGAAGTTGTATCCACCTGTACTCACCTGATTTCCACCCTCTTTCCCCCAACCAACATTATCCTCCAGTGACTTCCTTCATGGGTTCTTGTTATTCCAAAAACTCCCATACCTTTGCACACGCTGCTTCTTCACTGATCAAACTCTCACACATTCTTTAACGTCTTGCTTAAAATATCAGTCCTTTACTTTGGCAGTTAGGCACCCCACTCTTTGGTGTTGTGTACAGTGCCTGACTCAGCAGGAACTCTATAAATGTTTACAGAACAAGTGGATAAATTAACGGTGCCCATTTTTGTCTACTCCTCTCTGAAAGCATTAACAAATACTACTATTCATTTGCATTTGGTTCCTTGACTGTATCAACACTTCCTAGAAGGCAGAACTCCAATTCATACAGTAAAAAAACCCCTCTAGTATCTAAGTAGTGTGTGGCACAAATTAATTCAATACACTGGTTGAATAAAATTAGGTGAATCTTCTAATCCAATCTAATAAAACTCCAATAAGAGTGTCATTTAAAAAATGTTTCAGTCGCTATTCTAAAAATGTTCAGAAGTAATAGAATTCAAGTAAAGAAACTACAGAATTAGCATTAACGGTAACTTTTTGTTGACTGTCGAATATTTCTGATTATAAACCAGTATAGGTAAATTTTTATGTATAACGTGTTCACATTACTTAAAAAAGAGCTTATTATTACATTATTGCAGATTTTATGCAGTTTGACTCAAATGATCCTTTAGTGAAAGTGGAGGATGAAAAAGGTTAACGAAGTGAACTCCTTAATGCAAACACAGCACAATATTAGTATCTGATTAGCGTTCGCTTTAAACTCTAATCTAAAATCGTCTAGCACCTAATACGCATGTCATAACGAGAATAAGATTTTGCTTACATACAAACACATACCAACATCATAACATTTTAAGTTATAATTATGTTAAGGGACTACCTAATAAAGGTAAAGTTCAAACTAGTAAGTCTTTACATTTCCTGGAGTAATTTTTTTTTTTTTTAACAGCTTCCATTTGGGAAAGAACTGCCTTGAGGGCAAATGTACGCACCTACGTAATACAAAGAAGTGTGGTCAGTTTACGACTCTGAACAGAGAGGCAGATTCAAACTGAAACTTCGGGTATAATGGGCCTGAAGCCATTTTGAGAAGGGGGAAGGACTGGTAGAACACTGACACGTAAATCCTGCTCTGAGGAAGGATTCCAACCTGGGATACTAGTATTCTCTGAAGCCTCTTCCTTGTAGATGTGAAAGTGAATGAAAGCGAAAAATTAATTTCGAGAGAGCTCGGATGAACTGGAAGCTGTGAAAACTGCTTTACTGACATAACCCTTCCTTACTATGGCTCTTGAGGACAAACCCTAGTCCTCTCTCAAACTCATTACCAGAACCTTCCATACTATTGTGTAAAACTACGCGCGCTTTATCCCATGGTGGAGGATGTTCATTCTGAGAGAAAGGAAATGCCAAGCTAACTCCTCGGAGAAGGAAGCGCGACTGCCGCAGAAGCGAAAGACCTAAAGCCATCTATGCCTAACGCGTTGGGGTTCTAAATGGCTTAAACACTAAGAAACACAAAATCGAGTTCCAGCCTCTAAACTGTATTACCAACAAGGGAACCCTGAGTCTCCTCACATTTCAGAGCCCGGAAGGGCACTTCTTTCCTCTTCCTCATGCGCTAAGAAGTAGCGGCCTACTCAGCCAGCGGCCAATTACCGTGAGCGTTCGGAATCCCGCCGCACGGTCCAGACTTACCTGCCGTGCTCTCTGCAGCGCATCTTTGAAAGCATCGTTAACTCCTCCACCACCACCGCCGCCGCCTCCACCACCAGCTGAGCCAGAGGAAGGTGGAGGCACTGTTGAGTAGTCTGCCATGTCTACGCTACAGAGGCCGCTGCCGCTTCTTCGCAGAGATGTTCCCTCAGCCAACTGCTAAGAAAGAAAGAAAATGGCGGCCGTCGAGGCTGTATCACATTCTTGTGCGACCATCGTGCCGTAAAGGGGCGGAGACTGAAAGGAGAAAATCTCGCGATGTTTTGAAGCGACGCGCTGCTGTGGGGGTGGGGTTGAAAAAAACAAGGTGAAGCAGAGAGATGTCGCGAGAAGTGTGTCCACGATATCGCGAGAGTGAAGTTTATTTTTGGCGCCTCCTCTACGCGCATTCGCGTGTTGAGACTGTGTGGTTGTACTTCCGGGGTGGTGGGTAAGAGTGGCGCGGCGACCCCGGTTGGCTGGAGTTTCTGAAAACCTGAAGAAAAGGAGTAGTTGCTTTCTATTGGTTGCCGCCTCGGGGAGGGAGTGTGGGTGAATTTTCCTCCAAGGGTCCTTCCGTGTATCCATGGGAAAGTGGGTGACGTCGACGGGCGTTAGGGCGACGCAACAGTATCTCGAGAGCGCCGCAACCAGGAGTGCGCCTGGGAGAAGCGTGCCCGGGACGCCACGCGAAGATGTTCCCGAAAACGTCCGCCCGGCCTAGCGGGATCTCGGCATGATTTTCAGGGTAGTAAAGTGTCCCTGTATTTTACTTCTAGATTGCCAGATCTTTTAGCTTTATCACAAGTGGGGATTAATTTAGGCTGGAGGCCTTTTAGTTCTTGAGCTGATTTCGACATCTTGTGTAAATAATGTGGATGAAGCTTTGAAGTTATGACTGCCCTGTTCTTTACCTTTAAAAAATATGACTGCTCCTAAAATTCTGTTGTAACCACACTTAGTAATCTAGTATTGTATGTGTCCGGGATCACTTTTATTGAGATCATCTTATAAGAACAACATCAAATTCTTCTAACAATAGTTTGCCCCATCCCCTACCGGTAAGAACCCACATGTAATGTTCTGAATTGTCATTCCTGGACTAGATAGCTTTGTAAGTGTGTATATTTTGTTATCTGTTCCCAATTATCAGGTAACTTCAGGCCTTCCCGACATATGATGGCATGTAATTTACTGCAATATTAGTAGTAGTAGTTTCAGATTCATGGGATGCTTCGGGAATCTTATTTAGGAGTCGACCGAAATGGTTTTTTTCCCCGAATTCTTTTATTTTTAGAGAACAAAGACCTAGGTAAAATGAACTTTATCAACTTGGCATTTTGTGTTTTGTGAATTAGGTCTAAAAGAGTACTTTCCCCATTGCTAGTCTTAAGAGTAACTGGGAGAAATGTGTGCTGCTGTCTTACTGGTAACTAATGTGTGCACTTGTTCAAGGCCCCAAATAAGTCGGATCATTAGACAGTTATATGCATATAGCTACCATTGTGGCATCATTTTCCTCCAATGAAGCTTTTCTTACCATCTTAACGAGTTATACAGTTTTGATTATCTTTTTCAGTGTTCATAACTATCCTTTTAGATTTGGGTTGGTGGGTGGGATTTCTATTTGGAAAAGCAGTGAATGTATTGGACTACAGATTTAAGTATAATGTAAAAAAAAAAAAGACTGTAAAAGCGTTGTTGGGTGGTATTGCTAAACAAAATTTTTACAGTTGTTTTGAAAAAGATTATCCAACAAATGGCATTTATTAATCAATTGATTTCTTCATATTAATTACACGTATTCCTTCCTGATCAATGTAATGTAACCACAGAGTGATATAATTTACCCTCAAATAAACTTTATTTCAGACAGTATTAGTTGTCTCTAAATATTGAAAATAAGGGCCTCCATTTCTAGTTTATTTGTAGACTCTCCTGGAAGAATGGGTATTCTAGGATGGGACCCAGTTGAAATCAGTTTAGATAGGGATATCTTAACTTCAGTACCATTTAGACTGTTTGATCAGATAACTCTATATTTTGTAATACTACTATCTAGTGTAATATGTTTAGCAGCCTTAGCCTCTACCCATAGATGCCAGTAACACCCCCCCACCCCCAGCCACAAACACACACACACTCAGTTGTGAAAGTCAAAAATGTCTCCAGATAGGCAAAATCATCTCACATTGAGAACCACTAGTCAGCCTTCATTCCTGTGCCTGCCTCCCCATTGGGAAGACCTATTTATCATACTTTTGAGGTATATTCCAAATTCTGTTAATTTCCATTTCCGCTCCCAAGTTACCATCACCTCCATCCTGGACTGTTATAGTATTCTGGTTGGTTTTTCTGCTTCTACCCTTACATGTCTACAGTTTGCTCTTTAATATTATGAAATTTCATACAGAAAAGTATGTAATATATGTGTAAGTTCTCAAAAGTGACAAGCAGCCATTTCCAATATTTTTGAAGCTCAAGCCTCTACTTGATGATTGTGTTGCAATTGTTTATATAGCAGCTTGAATAATGTCTTTAAATCTTTTTTAATTAAAAAACTTTTTATTTTAGAGAGAGAGAATGAGTGGGGGAGGGGGCAGAGAGAGAAGGAGACACAGAATCTGAAGCAGGCTCCAGGCTCTAAGCTGTCAGCACAGAGCCTGATGCAGGGCTTGAACCCACAAACTGAGATCATGACCTGAGCCAAAGTTAGACACTCAACTGATTGAGCCACCCAGGTGCTCCTTGAATGATTCCTTTATAACATAAATCAGGTCATCTCACCTTTGCACTTTATTAAAGTGCACCTATTGCACTTTATTATTATTATTTTTTACCTTTTAAAGAGAGTGCATGTGTGCAGATGAAGGGGAGGGGCAGAGAGAGATGGAGAGAGAATCCCAAGCAAGCCCCTCACTGTCAGCGCAGAGCCTGATGCGGGGTCTGAACCCATGAATCATGAAATCATGACCCAAGCTGAAATCCAGAGTTGGACGCCCAACTGACTGAGCCACTGAGGCACCCCTTCCTATTGCACTTTAAATCCTATACCCTGGAATAGTGTACAGGCTCCATATAATCAGGCCACTGTCTCTAAACATTCCTCCCTTTTATTCCACTTCACCCACCTTGCTGTCCAAGATCATTCCTGCCTTTAGGATTCCTTTTTTTTCTGCCTGGTGTGGATGCTCTCGTAGACTTTCACATGGATAATCTGTCCTCGTCATTCAAGGCTCAGTTCAGATGTCACCTTAGTCCCTCTCTGACCTCTAGTTGTGCCATTCTGCAATCACTATCCTATTACTTCTCTCTCTCTCTCTCTCTCTTCCCCCCCAGCCCCTCTCCCTCACTTGCACTCTCTCTCTAAAAATTATATATAAGTGTGTGTGTGTGTGTGTGTGTGTGTGTGTGTGTGTGTGTGTGTGTATATATATATATACGTGTTTACTTGTTTATTGTCTCTTTTCCTTTAGAATGTAAACTGGAGAGGGAGGACTTTGTCTACCTCTACCATTGACCTGTCCCTAATGTCTAGTCTTAGTGTTCTAGATATTTGCTGAATGAATAGAATATTGAAAAAAATCTGTCTCTACATTTTAGTTGATTTTGTGACCTTAGGCAAGTAATTTAGTTGCTGTGTCTCAGATTTCTCCTCTACATTATGACAACTTGCTTTGCTGTCCTCAAATGAGGTATCTGTGAGTTCTTCAGAAACCAGAAAGTGCTGTAAAGTGGAAATTAATATTATTAACATGTAATTCAGTTTCTGGCATCTTATCACGAAGGAAGGATAATCCCTGTAAATTTTTTGGATTATAGCTATGTTCAAATCTTAGTTTTAGTAAAACCCAGAATCCTGCAAGAGCAACTGAGTTGTGGGAGAAATAACCAGTGACTTTTGATTAAGCTATATGTGAATTCTCAGTCTACACAATCGTTTTAAACCCATTTGTACTTTGCTAGTTATTCTAGGTAATTTCATTATAACTGATGAAATCAGGATTTTCTTTAAACTTTTTTTTTTAATGTTTATTCATTTTTTTGAGAGACAGAGCATGAGTGGGGGAGGGGCACAGAGAGAGGGAGACACAGAATCCAAAGCAAGCTTTAGGCTCTGAACTGCCAGCACAGAGCCTGATGCAGGGCTCGAACTCTCAAATTGTGAGATCATGACCTGAGCCGAAGTTGGACGCTTAACCGACTGAGCCACCCAGGTGCCCCTGAAATCAGGATTTTCTTAATTAAATTCATTTCCTTTTGCAATGTAACTTTTCTTAAAAGTGGGTATATCATCGCTAATCTAAAACTGGTTTATTGTGCTTTGAGAGATTAGCCAAATATTTGACTAGATTATATTTTATAGTCACACTTTTAACACAGAAATTGGTATTTCATATTTCATTCTTAGGATGAAGCAAAAGTTAGTGTCTTTGAATTTACAGAAGTCTAGCGGGGAGCATTTAGATTCACCAAATAACAGTGAAAAGATTAGCAAGCATAATAAAAGTTGGGCTATTAAATGTACTGGCAAGTTTCTTCATTTTACCTTCTGACTTATTGGTTACCAAATGACTGAGTGGCCTTTTTCTTAGTACAACTTTTCACTTTTGGAGTTGGTAAATCTGAAATATTAACAGATTCTTATTTTTAGCTATTATAGAAAAGTAGTCCATTATTGCTTTCTTTTTTTCTTTTCTTTTCTTTTTTTTAGTTTTTTATTTATTTTGAGAGAGAGAGGGACGGAGAGAATCCCAAGCAGGCCCCATGCTGTCAGCATGAGCCGTAATCAGGGCTCAAACTCATGAACTGCGAGATCATGACCTGAGCCAAAATTGGGAGTCGGATGCTTAACCAACTGAACCATCTGGGTGACCCCCATTATGGCTTTTTAACAGGCATTTTAGAGTGACAAAATTGTACAGGCTTCCTGCCTCACCTTTATGCCCATCACCTACCTCCTAACAACTCTTAGGCAGAAGGATCTGGTAACTTCATGCTATACTCTGTGTCATTTAACCAGGCCAGTATTTCCTCAGTATCATAGTCAACAAAAGATTCAGTTTAGATGTGAGGAGGGAAGTGGCCACTTCAAATTAAACATACCAGGATGTAGTTAGGGT